ATTTTTTTGGCTTACGAAGATAACTGTTGATCGGTTTACGAATGGTATAAATGTCTGAGCAAAGCTGCCCCGCAGAAATATTCCATCCATAACTTCCATGTTCTTTAAAATTATACGTTGTGCTGTAAACAGACGAGTTACAGTATAATAATTGTATATTTTTATGTATCAGTAAAAGATGTGATAAATAAGATGATCATAGAATTTGTTCTGTTACTTACTGACACCACTGAAGCTTATCTTTATAAAATATGTGCAAGGGAAATTTGGTAGGTATGACTAACGTGGTATTTTCTCCTGCTGGTAAAATAGCCCGTGGAACATCTTCGCACTACAAAAGCAAAGGACAATATTGTTAATAGTTTAATAAAAAAATTAGTTTTGTTCAAAACTTAATAGTTTTATTTTATCAAGTACGTACCAGATAGCAATCCGCTAAATGAGAATACAATGTAACAGATCTATTATATTCGTTCAGAATGCTAAAACAAGCTTTATCTATTCCAAGCGTTGCATTAGTATCGAGACAAGGATTCACTGCAACGTGTTGATTCATGACAGACATTTTGCTATGATTACAATTGCTTCATTAAAATTAAGATCTTCTCTAGTATAAGTACCACTGAAAAATAAATAAATATACAAAATCTGACAATGAAGTTTTCGGATTGCAGCAATAAAAAGATAATAAAATGTTATATTTTATCTTTTAAAGTAGTCTCTAATTGACATCAATATATTTTCTACATCTAACAACGTCTGAAAATCTTTTTTAAGATACATAATTAGAGTGTTATTCAGAACACTCATCATATTTATTTATCCTTGATGCTTTGAAAATGGTTACCTTTCATCATATATTTTTAAGCTATGAAAACATGAAATCTGAGAAGTCAAATCTAATTAATTAGGTAGTTCATTTCAATAATCTCCTTAGCTACAAACTGTTTCATAATTTTCTTACACTCAGGAATGTTGTCATGCAATTTTCTTGATAAAAAAAATTGTTGAAAATAGTCACACCATCTTATTCATCAGATCTGATCTTTTCAGATTGCATGCTGTTTTTAAAGCTAAAAAACACGACAAAAGGTAAGCATTTTTGAGACATTTGGAATTTTAGGGACATTTGGAAAAAAATATAACATGCTTTGAACAATATTCTAACAATAAACTTTAAAAACAGTTTTGAGCGTTTTTATATCAAAGATATATGAAAAGTACATTAATATCATAAGGGACTACTTTGAAAGATAAAATATACAATATTTTATTACCTAACAATGAAATGTCTGTTTTCTTATTGCTCTGGGAACTTTATTATCAGATTACAGCTATTTCAAAATTCACTACTAGTGCAAAAAATCTATAGTTTACGTTACGTGCACTAATTGTCAATAGGTAGTGAATTTTGAAACATAACCTATCTAAAACTCAAAAAGAACAACAGATAGTTGCAACTGACATGATATTAAAGATTGTTTTCTGTAACTTTGCTACACGATACCTTTTGCACTTAAAACAAATTCGACATAAAATAATATCTAATTACAATATTATCTAGATATAAAGTTTCCGACGCAAAATGGGAAGATAATGCGCAATTTACAGGCTGCTTTAAAATGCGTTTCTTCACATTACTATACCTGTATATTCATGACAGCTAATACAATAAGAGCACAACTGAATGCACAATGCACGGATATAGTCAGAATATCTGATTACAACGGAACAAAATAATGGGAATGAAATCGCAATTGGTCGCGGTTCTATTTCGGACTTTTGTTACGGTTAAGAGACCGTAGTTCTATACTAAAAGAAGGCTCATTTCTTGCTTTTCACCTTTCTGTAAAGAAGAAAAACCGAAAACTCAGGTCACTAGTAGAAGGCGTGAGAAAAAACCAGATAGAATACATTATACATTTATAACTATGACGAAATTCTCGTGTTGGACTATTCTAAAAGGGGGAGAAAGATACTCAAAATCTTTCAGTTGGAACTGAAGAGATCAACCAACAATACATAATGACAGGACAGAACTGATTAAAGGCGCAATCTTTCGGTTGGAAATAATTCCAAAAAAACAATTACACTGACACTGCGTCACTTTCAGTGAAAAATACAAAATAGATAGTGGTACCTCCGCGCAAACACGTCATAGGCCACGATTCATGTTGGGCATGGTCGGCAACCAATTGCGTTCGACTTTTAGACACATGCGGCCGCGGGACTTTCTGAAATGCAGCGCGTAAAGATAGCTTGGCAGAATTACCGACGAGATACTATTGAAGACCGACTTACGAGAATTAGCGTTCTTGTGAATATTGAAATAATTAAAAGTTAAAAACTAAAAATATTGTAATTTTATGATTTATTAGTTTAGTGGACATATTTATGTGCATTTAGAACTCAATAATATTTTTCCTTAAAATTGTAATTTTAGTGCTATCATCAAAGTTTGATTATCAACAGAGATGATAACTGCAGAGAAAAAATTAATTAAGTAATTTTTCTGCAATATATAGAATATTATAACTTTGCATATAGAATATTGTAACTTTGCACAAATATTTATTTATGGAACATTTATGTAATAAAAAATCATGAATTTAACAATGTATGAGCCAAATATTTATGTTATAATAATAGCAAATTTATATTAATTGTTGATAATGTCAGCGTTCTTCAATTATCTTCGGGCCCTTGGGGCCCTTTTTATACCGCCGAAAATTTGCTTAGGATCTTTATAATATACTTAATAGTATTTCGTCGGTGGCAGAATTAATGATTTATTGCTTAGACTAGTATTCATAAACCTTCCTTGACCAAACAAGGAACCTCATTAGATTCTTTTTCTCAAGAAACGTTACAAGTTTCCTTGAGGAGAAGATGCAGCCTTCATAACCAATCAAACCACCAAATTTAGTTCGTCACACTGGTTTTTTTATTTTCAATAGCTTTTAATTTAGATCTGTCGCATCGATAATTATTTTCGATAGTTCTTTTTTTAGAAATAAACTGCGTCAAAAGTATTTTCTCCTTCTTCTATAATAAGCATTATGAGGAATTCCGATTGGAAGCATTGATGCATATTAAAGCCGTTTGTACATTGCTTTAATTTGAGTATAAAAATAAAATGCAAATATTTCGAATTATGAAATACATATTTTACCTAACAGTACAATAAAATGTATTGAGTATTTCACAATTTAATCGATTTCTATGTTTATTTATAAACATATATTTACTTTGTATTTATTTTGTGTATGTTACGACAGTTTTAATGTGCATCAGTACTGAGTGCGTCCAATCAAATTCGCTATTAGTTTTTATCCATTATTCCAAAATGCTTAATCACGACTTTATTTAATTAACAATGCCTTTATAACCTTTATTATTCGTAATTCATGATATTAGATTTGCATATACTATATATTATGACATGCTGCCTTTAGTAGGTTACTAAAATCCTTAAAATATTCCTTCCTTCGGAAAGGCAGACTTGAGATCCATTTATGAAACAAGGAGGGCTTGGAGAATCGAGGAATCCTTCATGGAGGCTTCCTCCATCCCTAAAATAAAGAAGGACTATGAATACGAGTGATAGTCAGATCTTATATTCAAGACCCTTAAGTACGGTCTTAAGAAGTCACGAACAAATCAGAGAGTTGCATTAACATCTTAAGGCATTATTTAAGTATGATCTTGAAATAAAAATCGACTATCGGTTTTAAAAATAACTTTGGGTGTGATTCACTTCACGCTGCAAATTTGAAGCATTCTTTGATTGGTCAACGAAGTATTTGCAGCGTTAAATAAATCATACTCCATGGTGGAAAGATTTTCCACCATGATCACACCCCTTGGTAGCAAGCTGACGTCAAAATGACGTTATTTGACATCAAAATGACGATAAAATGATATAGCTTGCTATCTGGGACTCTTAGATTAAATGATTCTGATTAATAATTTTTCAAGCGACAATTCTAGTATATTAATAATACAAGTATTATAATTTTTTTTCTATTGAAAAGAAAAATTGAATTATAAAGGTATATTTATAGCAATTTTAAAAATGATCAAAATATTTTTCAATCTCTTAAAAAAAAATTTTTTTACGAAAGTTCTCAAAAATAAAAAAACACAAACTAAAAGTGTATGATTTTATTAAGTATATAAAATAGATTATATTTACATTATATAATAAAATGTTGACAAAAAAGATTAAGTATAAATAAAGACTATGTTCCACATAAAGAACATTTTATTCTTGTTGAGTATTCGGTAAATGACAAGGATAAAATGATATATCAGGTGCATTGTGCGTTTTGCGGAACACACAGCTAAAATTAAATGATGACAAACTATATATATAACAATCCTACATAATAAATAACAATAATTTATATCGTGTTAGACGGTCTACTCAGTTTTTGTAAAAATTTTATGTTGAATTTTTAAATATATTCGAGTGTTAATTTAACATATAATATATTATATGAACTAAATAATAATTAACATAATAAATATGATTATTATGTTAAACATTATGTTATTTACAAATTTCGTGTTAAATTGATATTCAATATTTCGCAGTATCAAAATAACACAATTTTTATGAGTGACAAAATATTGTAACATAAAAATAATTTAATATTTTTATATAATATTTTTGTGTTACTTTCTAACATGCATATTCATCTTTCGTTAAATTAACATAAAAATTTGAGCGGATCATTTAGGACAATGTGATAAATTTTATACAAATTGTCCAACTGTGTATTGTTTACGACAGCGACCTTTTCAAGGTTCCCGATTACTGCGCAACCACTGAACATCCTGCGACATGACGTACAAGGTTTCTGCGGTTTCGTGAATAAACATCACGTTTCTATTAGCCGCTCGCGACGGATAGCGATAACAATCAAACGTGATAAAGTCCGATAAGTCGGCCGTCTGGTACGAATGGTATCTGAAGTTGATCAGTCGAGATTGACCCTTTTCACAGTCGGTTCTCTGACGCGATTCGGACGTATCTATTCGCAAAACTTTTGACACATACCAGAACCTGCTAGCAGTGAGCTCGAGGTGTCTTAGGATCTCTCTTTCGACGCACTATGGAATCCTTGGCAATTGACGAAGCTGACTCTACTGAAGCTAAGGTGTCACAGGTAAAAATGACGCGAGCATAAAGGAACTAAAAAAAGCAGATTTTTTTCTGCTTTCATACAATCCGGACTTTTATTCTTTGAAAAGAAACATATACAAAAAACTCTATGCAACGTATATACTATACTTAGTATTTTCGTAGTATTTTGTATATTTCTTTTCAAGAATTATAGAAGCTCTGGTTGTGGAAAAGCATATACACACATAAAATCATATATTGGAATACCCTTAATCTAGAGTACTGAAAACTCCGCGTGAGAAAAGCAGTTCTGCAAAATTGATAAAATTATTTTTCATATACTTATACTATTAATTGCAAGCATGTATAAAATATTATAGTTATTTTAATCGAAATAATTTTATATTAATATGCAGTATTTTACTACCAGACATATCAATTTTGAAATAATGGGTCAAGAATATACATATAGCTAATAATATTTAAATTTCTACTTCAATTGCGCTGAATTTTCAATACAATTATATTAAATAATTCAAAATCCTTAATCAAAATATTTCTATTAACAAATATTTTGTAATATTTCTTTTCAATATTAATTATTTAAAATCAACAGCTGAAGAAACAATTTTGTGACATAACTATTAAATCTGTTCTACAATGCTTTTTGTTCCCTGTTTCTTGCTTTTTGCTATTATTTATCTTGCTTTTTTGCTTTTCCGGTTTTTTGTTTTATATCGCCCGAGATAAAAGTTAACGAACTTCGAAAGAAACAAGAAATATGTACCAAGAAATACAATTGTCGATAAAATGATTGCAAAGGAGAAAAAAATAAAAGGTAAAAAAACAAAAGAAAACAAAGAATACATTGTAGAATAGGCTTTAGCCTTTACGATTTGCTGAGCTTCATATGTTCATTATCTCGATTAAAAATCAATGTAATTTTACAATACGTAAGAAATCATTTTTATATATCTACTAACAATTTTTAATACAAAAGAACTTCTTTTTTTTTACATCTTTTAAATTTTATCCATTTAAAACAAAGGCCTACGCTTCCCTTTGTTCGCGTCTTTTTTTTCTTTTGCGATATGTTTCAAAATAATTATGCTAAATAAAATTTATGAGTAAACTGCCTTTTAATGTTTCTTGTACAAAGAAAATTCATACTGATTTTTAAAAAATTATCATTAGAAAATGACAAAAAAAAATGAATCACATTATATAAATTTAAATACATAGCATATAAGTATCGATACTTGTGTCAATGACGATCTGAATCATTGATAACGGTCGCTTGTTTCACTATCACTTGGCGAAATTTTTATTCTCTAATCTGTTAGAAAAGGATGACTAACTTATGTCCATTTCCACCAACGTAAATTAACTTTAATCTCGATTTAATTTATTCTTTGTCTTATTTTGATCTTTAGAACTAGAAAAAAACGAAGAGTAAGTTGAACCGAGATTAAAATTAATCTACAATGTAGTGTGTGGAAACGGGCATAAGTTAGCATTAGTAGTTTAACATACTGCGATACTTGTGGCCTTTTATTGCATCAATAGTTTCCATTATTCTGATTTCATCATCGATCACTGCTTTATTTACAGTTTGCTCTGATAGATAGATAAAAGAGATTTTATAAATGTGTGTGATTTAATATCAATATTAATATTATGAAGATCAATATTAATATCAATAGCTGTTGATGTAAAATTTCCTTCTAATAAAACAAGCATGCGATCCTCTCAGTTAATATTTTCAAGGTATACTGTTATTAATAAATTCAGTATATATACAATATCATCGTTAAAACTAACGATAACATAATAAATATATTTGTTGATCTCTAAAAGAGTTTTAATTTTAGATTTAACTAAATATTTTTATAAGCAGGATAATAGAAGAATTTATTTATATAAAATTAGACAGTTTCGTGTAATTAATAAAGACAATTCTCGAAATATCTAACGCGGTTCTAAAAGTAAGCAGAGGTTTCTATTTTTCATTTGAGAGAGAATAATTTTTTATATTTTATTTTCTAAAAAATTATTTTTTTTCGCAAAAATGAAAATAATAATAATAATAATAATAATGAAAATAAAAATAATTATAATTAATTTAAAATTTTATACACATACATGCAGAGAGATCAAGACAATAGAAAGACAACGAGAAATTAAATGACCGATATACACACAATTACAATACAGGCTTTATTCATTATATTATATTGATTATAAAGTTAAAATGCCGATTAGTCAGACAAAATTGCGTAATGTAAGGCGTAAACTTAAGCCGATGGTAGCAAGCTGACATCATTTTATCGTTATTTTGATAAAATGAGCTTACTACTAGGGGAGCCAATTAGAATATTGCTTTAGATCTACATAATCTAATAGAAATAGTCGTAAATTTATTTATAAGACTTATCTATAAATTTCAATCGGTTGATGTTTGTCTTACAGATAAGTTTATTGCTACTTGTATTTCCGTTAGATTATGTAGCTCTAGAACAATATCCTTATCGGCTTAAGTTTACGTCTTATGGTTACTGTTAGAAAAATTTTGTCTATGGCCTTAGTATAGCCCTAAATGACCGTTAGATTGCGCGGAGATAGTGTAACATGAGTGAAAATCAAGCATTTAAAAATCGCTGAAATCCCTTATTCGACCTGCGAAAGTATTAAACGCTGATTGGCTAAGATGACTCTGCTATTTTTCACAAGGGAAAATCTTTCCCCTTCTCTCTTCATGCTTAACCTTCGTGTTAGATTCGTGTATTCGTAGATTATGCTCTCTCATAGTTGCAGTTGTATCTCTATTGTAGTTTTAATATTGAAAAAGCCAAACTGATCTAAGGAGAATTCAGTGTTCGATAAATTTTATATCAGTGATATATAATTTAATTTATTATACAATAATCGTCATAATACGATTTATTTTTAATTTTTAAGTCACAAGTTATGAAATTTGACTGTTGAAGAGTGAACACGTGTTAGTTCAGTTTTGATCAACGCCAGAGTCATGGCACCATACAAGAAAAAATTTTGTTCTCACAAGGAAAGAATCAAATATTTGCACTTGTTAATTGAAAAAGGATCAAGTGTGGATGAATGCTATAGCTGGTTGAAGAAAATATTCAAAGATCGCTATTTAACTCGCGCCTACATACAGCAGTATATTGATAAAATCGATAGAAACGCGCCACAACTCTTTAATGAAAAGAAAAAAATTATGAAAAAGAAGGTACTGCATAGTTTTGTGTATGTTTTAGGAAAAAGAAATACTAAGGAATGAACAGTTTAACCGGAAGTAGTTTTTCGTTTTATATTTGGATCTCTTAATTTATTAGTTGTATCATATTTTCTCTTTTATATATATTGATTTCGCGTAAAAGAGGCACGTCCGTGTCTCCAGATTCTTTAATGTTTCTTTATAGTGTTATAGAGAGAAATAGAAATAAATCATATGATATGAAATATCGTAAATCGGTATTCCATATGATATGGCTACGGCATAAATCGTATCGCATCCACTAATTACAGTAGTCTTCTCTCTATAGTATATCTCGATATATAATATTTCTGAACATTTCGAAACTGGGCGTTTCAAAACTTCCTTTCCGAGGAAAATTTTACTCGAACAATATAATATGGTAACGTATACCATAGCATACAGAGTGATACAGAGTAAAATCTTCCTCGGAGAGGAAGTTTGGAAGCATAGCATATATACTGTGGCGCCAGTGAGAAATGAATGGAATCGATATTGAATCGATTTCATTGTCATTTCTCACTGGGTATATGTCTCTCAATCAGTATATATAACATAGTTAGGATTGGAAAAGTTAAATAATAAGTACCGTCACAAGGTAACTAATCCTGAAAAGTAATGCGTTACGATTACTTGCTATTTTAAATAAAAAAATTTTATTACATTTCTAATATTACTAAATTATTTTACTTATTGCACACATTATTGACATTATGAACATTCGATTATATGCTATATTATTTAATAAATTAATATATTCCTAGAAATTAAAATTATTATAGGATCGATATTAAGACGAGTTTATATATAAAAGGATCCTAACTTAATATAAATTATTTAAAAATGGTGAGTATTAAAAACAAATATATAATTTATATAATCAACAAAAAATAATCACTAATTATTTACTAAACATTTTAAGCGAGCGGCACACGGTGCTTATTTTCTTGTTGTATTGCTGGATTAGAATCTTGTCGGCATGACAGCTCCATGATCATTATAGATCTGCAAAGTCCGGTATTTTATGAAACTTTTAAGAAGAACGCTCATTCGTGTGGTGAATCCTGTTCTCTATTTCTTTCATTGTGTGCAGCCCCTTTCTTTATATATAAATTTATTCGTCAACGTTGGACTAACTAGAGCTGGCGGCACACGATACTTATTTCTTGTTGCATTGCTAGCTGGGTTAAAATCTTGCCCTGATGAAAATATAAATCGGAGCGTAAATCAGATGTAATGAAAGAGTAACAGAAGCGTGAACAAAACTTCTAGAAGGCGAAAATTGGAACAATGAAATGTAAAAGAAGCATTTACGCTTCTTTCACATTTTATTGTTCCAATTACCTTACTCTTTCTGATCCAGACGAAAGATCAAAGAGATTTCGTCGCATGCTTCCAGTACTATACTCGTATATGTCGATGCTCTTCATTTCACTCCGTATGTATATAGCCCACTGTGGCGAACACACTTCTACAAGTGCAGTCTTACGTAAATGACGCCTTGAATGTAAAAAAAAAATCGGATTTTTGCATAGCCGTAATATACCTAATAACACCACCTTCAGTTGTGATAACAATTGTCACCTTCACCTGAAACTTCTTTGTAATGTCTCATTGTAGAGTAAAATTTGGCACACAGTTCAGGAAATTGGCACAGTTGGGAAATTAAGGGTTAAAAAACAGGCAAAAAAAACCGCTTTATTGGGGTTAGTCTTTAAAAAAACTTAAATATAAGAGTAATAAATGTAAGTAAATGTTTATTTTTACATAGTACTATTCAAAAAAATATGTATTAAGGTTGAGTAATCTTTTTTTCAGAGTACTAAAACGTTATTAATTACTTTTGTATATTATATCACTGACTAAATTCTAAAATATAATCGATTTCTTCCACTTATAAACGTGTACTAAAATGTTGTAGAGTATTTTATTTTATTTCTTTAATTTATTAATAGACACTGTTGTGGGTAAGGAGTGGTCCGGTAATAACGGCGACTCGGTTGGTGCTAACACTGGTACTTTATTTTGTTAGACAGAAGTCGAAAGCGTGGTGCATTCGCGTCGACGAGTAAAAAGAGACTGACTCCTCAGATCGTTGCTTGGCTTACAGAATCCTGAATGGCATAGGTATATCACTCGTACATCACTCGCATGTCTGATACGACAAGGTTTCATATTTCGAAAAGCTAGAAGAAAGATGTGTACATATGTTAACAATATGCAATTCCGTTGAATGAGTGAAAAGGATGTCTGTGACGCTCACATGGACGGTCTAATTATTTTAACTTGTAAACATTTAACGAACATTAGAACACATAATATACGTATATTAATTGTTTGTTATTCTTTCGCTAAGAAAAATATATCTGAGGGCGACGCCGCGCGCACGTGTCGCTACACTGTCATTCACACATTGTATCCAGGACTTTTTTTTACGAAGGAGAAAGATTCCCATAATTATTCTTTAATTAACAATAAATTGTTTATAACAAATAGAAGCATTACTAAAATTTATCTATCAACGCAGTAGATATACTATTTATATATAGTATTTCAACTTTTTTATTAAATTAATTTGTTTAAGAACTATGAAAAAATTTCCATAACTTTTTAACTAACGATAGATTGTTAACAATAATTACCAAAAGCAGCAAAGTAGTTTATTGTAACACATTTCTTATCGAATTTTTGTTAACTAATCTAATATGAATATGATTTATTTTAATTCGTATTTCGCAATTTTTGCCATCTACTTGTATAGTCGCAAGCATGTAAACAGAAAAGCAATAAAGCATTTTGAGCAAAGGATTTCAGTAAAGTTGCCTCCATCAATTTACAAACGGTTTGCTCAAACTGTACATTTTTGATAGTATTTGTGTGTGTACATCTACATGATCGTAATTTAATGATCGTATTTGTGTGTGTATTTGATATTATTTGCGTGTAATCTTACTTTCCTTTTTCTCTTTTTGGTTTTTCTTTTTTCTCATTGTGTTTGAATTTTACTTTGAAAATCGTCTGCTAGTCTTTATTTAGCACGTATAGTACTGTACGATAAAGGAATTTTTTAATAAATAAATGCAATTAATAAATTAACACATTAATTTTATTAATTTATTAATATTAAATTAGTATAATAGTTTAAAATTTATACTTGTTTAAATATTGGTAATATTTTAATAAATTAATTTTATAATTTATTAATAAATAAATTAAAATTAATTTTAAATTAGATTAATTAAAATAGATTAATTTTCAGACGGAAACGAATAACAATATAGAAGATACATCATCTAATTCACCTCCTAACCTCACTCTTCCAAGGGAGAGATCCAATTCCGCGGTGGTTGATTCTATTGGCTTGAAAAGATACTTAGCTTCTGCATCTGTGATTGATCGACGTCGGTGCAAATCTCTAACTGCTACAGATTACTGTGTATGTAATTGCCTGTGATTACGAGACTTTCGTACTGATCGAATTCAAATTATACGTAAGCGTTATTTCAAATTAAGACTAGTATTTTTATCAGGGCTAAGTACATAGAACAAGTATAGTTAGTATTTGATAAAATTTAAATAATTTTTTATTTAGATAATACTTTGAATAATATTCTCGTTACATGATAATTATTTTTTGAAATAAAAAATATTTATATAAATAACAATTAGAATAATATATAATACCAAACTATTTATTAAAGATAAAAATTTATCAGAGTAACAAATTAGACAACAATTTATCTAATTGCCTATTGACAAACATACGATAAAAGAATTATATTGTTATAAACAAATATATAAAAAGAAGAGTTAAATTATTATATAAAAAAAGTTTTCGAATGCATATCACATTTAAGTTATTTTTATTACATTTCGAACATGAAATTGAAATTAATGTTTTTCAACGAAAGATATTTTAAATTTACTTTTATAATTAATATAATAAAATTATATGAAAGCAAGATATAAATCTTTTATAATATAAACCGATTGTTTTCTTAGACACTACCAGACATGAATTTGTGTATTCCGGGAACATCCCGAGATGATCATGCAATAAAAACAACGAACAATAAGCGAGAAGATAAACAATCCAACGAGAGGGCGAAATCACCTCTATCGACAATCGACGCTATTGGCACGTACGTTATATAAAGAAATGAATAATAAGGAGAAATCTTATTAACTTAGAGAGACATCATAATTCTGAAACTAAGCAGTACAATTCAATAGATTTTTGTGATAATATTAGATCGAGAAGTAATTAAATAAAGCGTAAACTAAATAAAAATATTACCATTAAAGTAATATTAACTTGGAGTTGAATAAATTCTCAATTAAACGAGTATACTGAATGAAAATACTTCTTTATTACTAAAAATACTCACAACTGTATATATTTAATTTCACTGATACTATAGTTACAATTGTTTGTACTATTAGTTACAATTGTTTTTCAATCACTACAAATATTTGCTGCGTTTTATTCATTAATATCAAAACATATTTTTTTTATTTTTTTATTCAGCATCGAAGAAAAGCCATTGACAAACAGCCCTCCAAAACTTACTGCTTTCATGCCAGTTGAAAAGAATGCAGAGTGCTATAACATGAATCACAAAAATCGCGGTAAATGCATAATCTTCAATCATGAAGATTTCTCTTTGTCTCCACAAATGAAACGAGTGGGTTCCGCAAAGGATGCAGAAAGGTTGCAAAAAACTTTTGGAGACCTCGGATTTGACGTTGAACTTCACAATGATTTTAAATTTTCCGAAATACAAGACGTGCTAAAGAGAGGTAAAAATATTTTTTACATTTTACATTTATTTTGTATTCGTCTTCTTTCAAATCTTGACTGTGTATTTTACTTAGCACAAAACTCTAGTGTTGCGTGACATGAATTAACAATTTTACTAAAGTATTAAACAATTTAACTAAATAGATAGAAATTTGAAATTTTATTTGGATTATCAAAATAATTGAATCGACAACCGAAGGAGACAAGTTCAATTTTTTTTCTAAAATTAGTTTTTCTGTTCATTGATCTTGAAATGGCGGATTGATACACTTTTAGTGCAAATAAGGAACTTATTTTAGGCTTCTAATTCTAACAGCTTAAAATAGACATTGAAAATGAGTAGTAAATGTAGAAAGAGTCCAGAATTTGCAAGAATTTGGAGATTTGAAAAAATGGAATACTACATGATACATCCTGTTAGAATGTAGCTTTTTAATGAGATTTTTCAAAGCCAGCGACTGAACTTGAAAAGTAGTTAGAATAAGAGATATTTTAATAATCACTATTTTAACTCCAATGTTTTAGAAAAGTTTTATGTAAATTATCCCATGTTGTGTGTTTAATATAAAAAAAGACATTATTTTAAAAAATATACAGTATGGTAGCATCTCGGGAAAAAATGTTGAATATATCTATATAGACATATTTTATATATAATTATATATAATTGTATATAAAATATGTCAATTTTTTATATAGTTATATATAATTTTATGTAATTATATATAATTATATATAAAACATTTTTTTCCGGGATACTACAAATTTTTTAATTTTTTTGAGTGCAAAAAGAGTATATAAGTTTAATGTTGAATCTCAAATAGAACAACAAGTCACGATAACGTCATAGTGACATTAAAACGAATTGGAAATAATCGAAAAATTATTTTTAATAATGATTTTGGAGTCATTTTGATTATAATGACTTGTCGTTCTGCTTGGGGTGTAAAAGGGATATAATCAAATTTGAAATTTAAGATTTTTATTTAATAGATAAGCATTTCAGAAACTATAAATATTTCAAAGATTATAAAGCTTATTAAATTTCATACTTAATTTCTCAAAATAATTTTGTTAGTTTTTTTATTACAACTAAAGTTAAATATAGATGTGTATATAAAGTCTATATAAGTCAGCACTGGATGAACAGGTGCAAATTATAATTTATTTAATAAATAGATACATAAATGTTTCAATTCTTGATGTGGATCCTTATTAGTTATACGAATAAGTCACGTATTATAATTTGCACCTGTTCATCTAGTGCTGGCTTATATAGGCTTTATATACACATTTACAGATTAATTTATTTGAATCTAAATTTTAATATTAAATTTAAATAGTTTTTTGTTAATACTGAAAAATTTGATGTCTCTTCTCCTTTCTGCATTCACCAACTCAATTACGTAGAACTTTTACAACATGGTCATTAACATTTAAGTATTTTACATAATTATTTTGATAATCTAATAAAATTATTTTGTCACGTTCGTATTTAGCTTAGGAAATTTAAATTTTTAGTAAAATACTTTAGTAAAACTATATATAATTTAGTAAAACTATTTTTTCTATGTGTGTGTGTTTATTCAATTCAACTTTCGTACGATTGTATTTACATGTAACAGTGAGTCAACTCGACCATACGGATAATGACTGCCTCTGTGTCATTACATTAACCCATGGTCTAGAGAAGGGCATAATATGCGCGAACGACGTCATGTATACATCCAACGAGCTTTGGAAGCCTTTTACTGCCGATAAATGTTTGACGCTTGCGGGCAAACCTAAGTTGTTTTTTATTCAAGTAAATCAATTAAAACTTAATGTTTTCGAGTCTTGTTCTACTTTTAAATTATCGACGTATTCCGATATGTTTCCGCTTTGTCATTATTATATAACTTTTTGTTTAGGCTTGTAGAGGCGATGAATCCGATGATGGTATTCAACTGGTAGCCAATCGATCTTTAAAAAGAACGGAAACTGATTCAGTTAATATAAGTTATTCTATTCCGATTCACGCGGATTTTATGTTAGCTCACAGCTCAGTTGAAGGTAAGTGTCAATTAATTACCTTAATATTTCCTTTATTAAAGAAACTATTACAATACTTACTTTTTAATGCTATTATTTAATAAAAACATATTACAACTGTTAAAAAAGGCTAAGTGTTAATACGCAGTTAATCTTTTTTTTAAAGAAAATATAGCATAAATTGAATTTATTTCTTTTCAAGATTTTAAATGCGATATGCAAAAAACGCATATAATATGTACAATAAATTTAATTAGATATAAAAATCTTAGGACACTCATAATAACTAACTGTAAAATAAATTATTTTAATCACATTATATGTACATATAAAGGAATAAAAAGTGATGTAAGTCACTTTTTAAATCTGTTGAGCATTTTACATGATTTAAAATCAAACGTAGTGAAGTTCCGCTGTATTTAAAAGAATCATTTGTATTATATTGATTATGGCATTTACTTAAGACATAAAATTTAATATTAATTTTTTATGATAATTTAATCTGTTAGATAAGTCCGGATTTGCGATTCTAACTAGTTTTTTGTTCTGGAAAATAAATAATCTTTTAGTATAACTACAGAGAGTCACTGAAAATAACATAACAAAAGAGAGGATATTATTGATAAATCAATGAATTAATATAAATAAATACGTTCAATGTAATTCTTTATTATTTTAAGGTTTTTATACCTGGAGGAGTCCCTTTGAAGGAACATGGTATATACAATGCTTATGCGACATCTTAGATGAATATGGAACAACAATGGATTTGATGAAAATGTTAACTTTAACAGCGCGAAAGGTTGCCACAGAATTTTCTTCCGTCAATCTCGAGCATAGAATTTTACACAACAAGAGGCAGGTGCCGTCAGTGACGACGATGCTGATCAGATCTGTTTGTTTTCCACCAAAACCGAAGACATAATTTTGCAGAGAAATTATAAGAAATTTTCAAAAAGGGCACACTGAAAAAAAATATAGATTAATATTTATTAAATATAAATTAAATATTTATTAAATATAAAGATATATTTATTAAATATAAAGATATATTATTTGATACAAGAAATGTTAATTTGATTTAACAATTATTTTTTTTATTGAACAAATATTTACTTATTGTAAGTAAATATTTAGTTGGCAGTATTGAACTAAATATTTATTAAAATTAACTATATTTTTTTCTCAGTGCAGAAAATAATTAAAAGTCTGAATAATTGTAAATGAATATAGCATTTCTTATATTTAATTGTTAAATAATTAAATAACAGTAATTATTCTAGATAAAAACAATAGAATAAAAAATTTAGGTATGACGTGTCAAAAAAATTAGAAAAGTAAAATATCTTTTGAAAGACTGAAAACAAGAACGCATTTCTATTCTTGCTTTAGATATATACACACGCGCGCGCGCGCGCGTGTATGTGTGTATATACATATCATAAGTATGATATCATAAGTATATGAATATGCGTAGTATAATAATAGAATAAAGTTAAAATAAGTTTATATATTATAATAGTTACGAGTTTACTACAAATTGGAAAATTACAAAAAAAATTGTAACCTAGTAACTTAATTTTTTACAATACTTTACAAATAAGTCCTTATACTTTAATAAATAGATAATAAGTGCTAAGTTTCTATCGTTTCTATCATTGACGCTTATATTTAGCAAATGATGTAATCACTGTACGATATTAACTACATTCAGAAGATAAAGTCGATCAGTGAGCATTCAATATTTTTTATCACGATTGGTATTTGTAACTTTAGATCCAACAAAGAACTAAAAGCAATAACCAATTACATTAAAGAATCATTGAGCGACTTTGTCTTCTGAATGTAATAATTATCGCTTATTTTATGATGTGAGCCCTTTTGATCACTTGTTATAAGGATTATAAGACTTGAATATAAAAATGGCACTAGAATTATAATATTTTTTTAATTCGGAAGAGAGTATTTTCACAATTACGCTACTGATCTCTTTATGCAATTCTTTTTTTAATTAGGATTGAGAGAATTTTTTATGGTTGCGAGTTTAAAAAAAACCCTATTGTCTCCGAAAACCCCTCTCGACACTTTTCATTCTTTCTCGTAATTGTTTGCGTTTACACTGATCCAGATTGATCCATGATTGCAACACATATATTTATCCAACCCTTCACTGTCACTGTTTTCTTTTTCTTTTTTTGTGTCTTTTCCTTTCCTTCGTCTGACCAAATACCTGTCCCATTCCTCAGGTTGCTGTTCGACGCCCTCCGCCATTTAATTAAACGTCGACCGCCTACGGTCGAAAACGATACAGCTTGTTCAACGCACGAAAACGACATTGTTCCTCATTCATCGATCACGCGCCACCACAACGTCGTTAACGCGTTCGTCGTTGACGTAAAACTGCTCGTTATCTACGTAATTACCTCCCGTTCCCCGTGAAAGGTGGGACAAGTTAAAAGAAAATTAACGTCGTTTCATAGACTTCTAATTTATAAATTTTCAATTTTTGAAAGATTAGAGAGATTAATTTAACTCGTCAACAAATACGAGTAGATTCGAAACATCCTGCATGTTTGCACAAAAAATATTTTCTGTCTCTTGTCGATATTTTTCAATCTACCTGTTTTTTACAAATTGAATTTCAGCTAAGACAAAGAAAGTTCTAGCTGCATTATTGATGAAAGCACGTAGAAGTTGATATATCGACGTTGACGCCGCGACAAACGCATCGGTCGCACCCTCTATAGAGACAACCCTTGTCAAGCTGTGACCCGAGGAGCAGGGTCATGGTGGATCTTCAAGGTGGCCTGGTAATTACATCAATTAGCTTTGCAAGAGCGCATTTAAGAACGATCAGATATTACCGCGAAGCTTCGCATGAAATGAGAGTTAATTCTACCGTAGGCAATTGAGAATTAGTGCACAGCAGATACGATTTAATCAGTTAGTTAGATGAAACGTCTGATTTTAATGTGACTTTCAATATGATTCCTTCAGCGTCTGCATAATTGCACGTTATTGACGTAAAACCGTTATCATTGCCTACGATTTATTTCTTCTTTTGAAAGCCGAAGGAGAGATTGATCAAGATTGTAATGAAAACCTTGAAAAGATCATTCAGTATGCAACAATCCGGAAGCTGTAAATAGTTACACGAAGAAAAGAAGATGATAATTAGCATTGAATTAAAATATTTCTCGAGATGGTGATTATTGGAGTAGCTGCTGGAAAAATTTTTTTTCAGAAGACTTTGAAATATGCCTTCGGAGTCAAACGAGACAGCGAGGAAGTTGTGTGTCAATTGGGATTTCAAATAAGCGGCGAAGACAACGGGATCATAGTTGAACCTCCAGAGGACTCTGGACCATGCATTCGGAAACTAGGAATGATACAGGATGAGGGTGGCGACAAGCGGGGGTGAGGGTCGGCCGCGGAGGGAGCCTAAGGACCAGGAGTTTGCGCGAACAGATCAATACGGGGTCTGTCCCCCGCACATGAACATGTCTCTTACTCGCTCTTTCTCATTCTCTCTCTCTCTCTCTCTCTCTCTCACTGTTTTCCTCTCCTCTATCTTTCTCTCTTTCTATTCTTTTTGTGTATTTTTGTATTTTATCTGTTTTCCTCTCACATGAATTGTCTCCGATGTGAGATTATATTTTAATTCTCGATTACTTCCATTCGCTGTGCTCGCCATTCTTTTTATACCTTTTTACGTTTGCTTTAGCTCTTTTTCTTTCTGTGACGTAATAATATCTGACGTAGTGTAATAATAACTATAAGAAGGATCTTACGTAATCAAGGGTTTTTTAAAATAAATTTTTTTATATTTAAATTTATTTAGTTCTCTATATAGTATTTAAGACCATGGATTCATCCATGTCTCTTTCTTCTTCCTAATCTGCGATCCTTACAATCCTCCTCTCTGAGAGCTACTCTCTTTTACTCTAACCCACATTCTCCGTGTCTTCTATTAATATTCTCGCTCAATTGAATACCTTGAAGACTCTGTCTGCCGTAAGCTCAACATATCCTATTCGTTCTAAGTAGATATCCTTGGATTCATCTCTGGCGCTTGAATATATCTTTTCCTATCATCGCCTACTGATATAATTTTTTTTTCAAACGTCTGTAAAATCCATCCAATCGCTGCTCTACTCTATGATACTTTGCGGCCTCGTAGCATTGACACTGCATCGTTTATCACATTGAAACATTGACCCGTTCCGCGTGACTGTTTTTCTCTACTTTTACCAATTTTTCCTTTATCATCGCCTCTCGTCCTTATATTGCTCCTCTCCTTACATAGATCTCTCTCCTACTCTGCTACGAGCTTATATTTCTCTCTTGCCCATCTCTTCCCTTCTATTATATAGCTCCTAGTTGGATCAGTTCTTCCTCTCTTTCGCTCGCTCGCTCTTTATTCATGTACACGGTGTCCGAGAATTATCATTATTACCTTCAATCGCTTCAATAAGCTGAAATAGACGAAAGTTTTATCGTCCATCATGTTCGTGCTATCATTTCTTTGATACTCGATGTTAAATTAATTTTTCCATCAAATCTGTCAAAAATGTCAATTCAAGTAATTTGGTCCATGTATCCTACATGCTAAAGTCGATCGGTAAAATTTCTTGGATTTCCATCATGAGAGAGATCACCCATCTTCCGGTTGCACCACCCTATACATTTGTATCTTGCGCGCGCGCGCGACCGGCGCTCCGTCCTTGTCCGTGACGCGCGCGCTACCCCCAGCAAGGTGGTGGCGGTCCAGCGTGTTAGCCGTACGGGATGCTGAATTCGTAGAAGAGATTCAGTCGTATTGCCTGGGCTCTCTCTGTCGCACGGCTAACGCCCGGACGGAGTGTGCGAGGTTGCATCCGCGTGCTGCAAGAGGAGCTCCGATTTCCTCCCTCGGCGAGAGCTCTTCGTCGCGGCGAAAAGGAAATCGAGACGCACACGGTGGGATGGATACGTCCGCGTGAAAGGGATGCGCTACGTGATTTTGCAGGGGTAGCCCGGTGGTAAGTAGTATTACTCCGAATTTTCACTCCCCTCTCTTTCTGTCTTTCTCTCTCTTTTTCTCTTTCTCTCGTTTACCCAACTCTACCCTGCTACGCCTGAACTTCAATCAGGCACGTACACCTGTATAATTCCTGAAAATCCGATTTTAGATGCTACACATATCGGACAATTCAGATTGTGAATCGTAATCTGTTCAGATTTTGTCTTTTTCTCTCCAAGGCTATGTTCAGATTTCCACCTAAGTGTCTCCTAGGTATCATTCGATCTTTAACATTCGGTGAACAGCATGAATAAAATGATATCTGGGTGACACTTGATGGAAATCGGAACATTAGCCAAAGTGAAAAGAAAAAGAAGAAAGTTAAGCCATGCAAAAAGTTTAATTTTTTTTTTTTGAGATATGGAAAAAGAATAGATCTTATATATCTTTTCCTATGAAAGATATAGATAATAGTAATAACGTTTCAAATAAAAATGTTAATTAAAGTAATATTGTAAGCAAACTAAACACATGCTTTATGTCTTTTCCAATAAATTTTGAGCAATATTAATAACTCCTTTTTATCGTAATTCTAAATTACTTAAAATTGGGCGTAAACGGTTTCAGATAGTTATACAAAGTAAAACCAATTTATTCGCTTTCTCCTTACATTGCATTAAAAATAAAACTTAATGAATTCTTTAATCTGACACTTTGTCCATTATATTGTCCATTATATTCTTACTCTCTGAATTCTTTGAACGGAATCTCACTCTAGAGAGTGAAAATTGAGTCAGTCTTGGAAAAGGGTAGCTCAGTTTTCAATCTTTGAGAGTAAGATTTCACTCTTCAGAATAACAGACATTTGCTCAAAAATTAGAGGAATGTTGCCTGAAACTATCGCTACTGTTAAATCTCTCCTGCAGGGATATAACACACATCATTATGAAGAAAAT